TAGAAACAGTTTCTAAAGATTCATAATCCAAAAATAAATATGATTTCAAAATTTAAAATATTATTATGGCTTACTTGTAATTGAAGGCATGAGTCCCGGTATAAATAGTTATAAATAATTATTGACTGATTTTATCATTGTAATATTGTGATATGGTGTGGTGAAGAGTGAAATATATTTTGATCAGTTGCCAGGGAAAAAGTCCAAGATGGTCCAAAGATTGGATATATACAAATTTATGTGGTACTGGCTTTTTATGGGAAAGCTGAAATTCGCTATTCTTTAGGAATTTCAGAAACTGCCATCCAGTGCTTTCTGCATTCTATTGAGGTTTCTTCTAGACTCGATGAATTACTTTTATATATATATATATATATATATATATATATATATATATATATATATTGATGGATAGAATGTACGCTTTCTGACCATGAGACCTGGGTTCAAATCTCACCACGGGACTTCCTGGAGTTATCGAACTGGAGGGTTCAATCCCAGCGTATGGCACCTTTGGAAAGTGCTTGAAAACCATATCACCAGTTGACCCAATCCTTGTGAATAAAATTGGCTAGACGGAACACTTGGGGGACCAATGATAGCTGGCATAGGATGAAGGCACAAGTCATCTTGGCCGAGGGCTTGAGCATGCTGGCTTTGTTCAAATTGTTGATCACGCTAGATAACATGCTATTTCCCAGAAACTGTAACTAAGGTCTACTCAGCATAGTTGCAGTTTAAACCACTGATGGGCTCTGTGTGTTTTGAGTAAACACAAATGCGCTTGAGCAAACATTTGCAATAGGGATTGGCTAGTCGCTCTAATAGACAGGTATCCTTGAATACGAGTGGCCAGCTATAGTAAGAACTAGACAATATCCTTAGACATGAACAAAGGGGCATACACATGAGAAAGGCCGGAGGCACAATCGCCGAAACGTTGTTATACCAACAAGAAGGATAAGGACAATAGATGATAATTTAGACACGAGTCAGATGTCATGTATGACATCCACATGAGTGTCTAGGTCTGACAAGGCTATTTAAGATAGACTGATAACAACAAAAAATACATCACTTGAGTACTTTGGATTTCATATAACTGCAAGAGAAAACAATGAGAAGATATTGGTATTCTGTACTATTTTAAAGAAATGCTTAGGAAAGAAACCCCATCAACACTGAAAATAGTGATAGCAGCTACTGGAGAAGCCTACTTTCCTGAAAAATTATTTCAAGTGAAAGATTTTATAAAAGTATCACTGGCTGCTCGGTCAATGAATACCAAATGTTTCTTTATAAGGAAACGGGTAATATTATCATTACAGATGAGAAGAACTGATACTACACATTGATCCTGGTCTGATGGCCAGGAACTAAAGAAAAGCCTAACTCAAGTGGTACTAGCTACTTGGTCAATAAATGCAGTCACTATTTCAATTACCGTTAGAGATGAAGGGAACAGATACTACACATTGATCTCAGCCTGATGACCAGGAAGTAAAGAAAAGCCTAACTCAAGTGGCACTGGCTGCTTGGTCAATGAATGCAGTTACTATTTCAATTACCATTAGAGATGAAAGGAACAGATACTAGACATTGATCCCGGCCTGATGGCCAGGAACTAAAGAAAAGCCTAATTTGAGTGGCACCTGACTGCTCAATCAATGGATGCCATTAATATTTCCGTTACCATTAGAGATGAAGGGAACAGTTACTACACATTATTCCCTTGATTATAAATTTCAACCAAAAGTCGCAATGGCTGCTCAGTTAATCAATGCAGGGACTGAATATCTTGCTGGACAAAAATCAATTATAAATAAAGTAAAAAAAAAATATGATCAATAAATAAATAAATTATAATAAATAAATAAATAAATCTTATTTAAAACTCATAGACACAACCAGGCATTAAATAAAAAAAAATCTCCATCTTGTTTCGTTTTGTTAACAATATATTTTTTTTCTGGCAAGTTACCTTAATAGACAACCTAATCTCGCAAACACTGTATGACTGCCATTACGAGTTTTAATCAGAATCTAAGTATTGTCTGAAGTACATACATAAATCACTTGTTTTCCACAATCTTTCATCTTCTGTATCTTCCCCCTAACTGGTCACCCCATCGTCTTCATTCACCACCTGTAGGCTCCACCCTCAACCGCTACAATTTCTGCTGTACAATGATGAACATTTCAATAATTGATTTTACCCTAAATTACACTTTTGTTTGCTTGCTTTATTTTTCTTTATCGGGATTATTTTTTCTTTGTTTATTTTATTTATTGTTGTCTATTTTTATAAGGAAGTTATTATTATCATCATCATTGTTGTTGTTATTATTATTATTATTATTATTAATCATGTGTGTATTTCTAAGTATTATTAATTGGACAAGAGAAACATCTGATGGTGGAGATTGTATTTATTGTGGGAATGAACAACAAACGGCTTGCAACAAAATGGCTGAGTGAAAACAACAGTAAACTAGGATTTTCCTAGAGAGGGGACGACCGACCGGTTAGCCTGAGGGTGTAGTGTGGTAAGAGACGGTGTAAGGAAACACCCATGGGCACTAATTGAAAAATAGATTATGCCAAGGATGGAAAAGTTGACGGTGAAAAAAAGATGAATGAATGAAGTAAGTAAGAAAAATGCAGACAGATAGATAGATAGATAGATAGATAGAGAGAGAGAGAGAAGGGGAGTTTTAAGGAAAAGAGAAAGGGTGGAAAGAGAGACAGGAAAGAGAGAAAGAAAGGAAAGCAATCTAGAGGAAGGAGAGAGACGAGTAGAGAGAAAGGAGAGAGGAATGGAGAAGAGGAAAGAGAAGGAATAGCAAAACAGAGAGGAAGCGAAAGAAAGGAAAGAACACTGGAGAGTTAAAGAAAACAGGATTGTGAAACAGAGAGAGTAGAGACGGGAGGAGAGAGAGAGGAGGGAAAAAAAGGGATAGGAGAGAGATAGGATGGTGAAATATTGAAGGAGAAAGATGGGATAGTGAGAGAGATGAGGGAAAGAGGAGGAAAGGCGCCTCTGGTCAAGTGTTTGGGCTTCTTTGCTTTCAGAATTTCCCACCAAAGTCAAATTCATGCGAGGTGCCTCGTCAAACAGTCTTTGACAACTCTTCTGTAGCAGACTGGGCCTTCACAGCCATATGAATCACAGCCAACAGAAGGGTTGGGGAAGAGGATGACGATACTGTTGTTCGGACGTGAGCAGGTGCCGACTAAGTAAGTGACTAATCATTTCAGCACAAATGGAAACAAAAAGATGTATGCTTAACATCGGAAAGAGACAGCTGAGCACATCACGAGGAAAGACGGCTTGGAAAATCTGACACTCGTAGGACAGACTAAAGCCAAAACGGACAGAGGAAATCAAAGCATGACCTATTTAGTGACCTTGAGTAAATGGATAGCGGAACAAGGTTCAGGAGAGATTAAAAAATTATTAAGAGCTACAAAAAACAGGAAAATGTGGAGACCCATGATCGCCTATGCCCTGAAGGGACACGGCACATATAAGAAGAATGAGTAAATGAATGAAGGACCAAGGTTTAGGAGAAATAACAAAACGACAGAATTTATTAAGAGTTACACAGGACAGGAAATTGTGGAGAGCCATGATCACCAATGTCCTGAAGGAACACGACACTTAGAAGAAGAAGACTGTGCTTGAGTAAATGGATGGCGGAACAATTTTTAGGAGAGATAACAAAAAGAGAAAATTTAGAAAGAACTACAAAGGAGAGGAAATTGTGGAGAGCTATGATCGCCAACGTCCTGAAGGGACACGGCACATAGAATAAAAAGAATGAGTTTGAGTAAATGGATGGCAGAACAAGGTTTAGCAGAGATAAGAAATAGACACCATTTATTAAGAGCTACAAAGGACAGGAAATTGTGGAGAGCCATGATCACCACTGTCCTGAAGTTTCACAGCACATAGAAGAAGAAGAATGAGTTTGAGTAAATGGATGACGGACCAAGATTTAGGAGAGATAACAAAAAGACAAAATTTATTAAGAGCTACAAAGGAGAGGAAATTGTGGAGAGCCATGATCACCAATGTCCTGAAGTTTCACAGCACACAGAAGAAGAAGAATGAGTTTGAGTAAATGGATGACGGGCCAAGGTTTAGGAGAGATAACAAAATGACAAGATTTATTAAGAGCTACAAAAAACAGGAAATTGTGGAGAGTCATGATCACTAACGTCCTGGAGGGACACAGCACATAGGAGAAGAAGAAAAAAGAAGAAAAAGAAAAAGAAGAAAAAAAAAGAAGAAAAAAAGAAAAAAAGAAGAAGAAGAAAAAGAAGAAGAAAAAGAAGAAAAAGAAGAAGAAAAAGAAGAAAAAGAAAAAGAAAAAGAAGAAAAAGAAAAAGAAGAAGAAGAAGAAGAAAAAGAAAAAGAAGAAGAAGAAGAAAAAAAAAAAGAAGAAGAAGAAAAAGAAGAAGAAAAAGAAAAATAAGAAGAAAAAGAAGAAGAAAAAGAAGAAGAAAAAGAAGAAGGAGCTTGACTAAATAAATGGATGGCAAAACAAGGTTTAGGAGAGATAACAAAACTACAAAATTTATTAAGAGCTACAAAAAACAGGAAATTGTGGAGAGCCATGATCGCTAACGTCCTGAAGGGACACGGCACATAGAGAAGTAGATAGAAATCGCTGCTTTATATATGTTCCAGCTCTATCAATCATCGTTGGTCATTTGCAAAAGAAAAAATAATATATAGAAATTAAAAGAAAAAGAAAATTACCACGTTCGCTTTTTCCATAATGACGATTTGCGTTTCAAACATTATAGATTGAAATCACGTTAATGGCGGCATTTGTGGGCCGTTACCAATAAATCTACGACCGTTTGCCGTATCGTATGCATTGAGATTATATTTCGTAATTTTTGAAGACATTTAATGTATTTTCTGTCTGAATTTCTGGAATGACGAGTTATTATTTACACTATTCATATTCGGACTATTGTCTTCATCAGTCTTACGGCCGTATCACATTGAAACACCAATTCCCGTACGCTCATTGAAGTTAAGCTGCGTCGACACTGGTCAGTACGTAGATGGGTGACCGCTTCAGAATACCAGGTGCTGTAAGCTTGGGTGAGTCCATAGTATAATGAATAATGGGTCGGATATATGTATATACTAGCTATCTGGCGGCAATAGAGCTAGCTCCCGTGGAGGGTTCTTGGCTAGGCCTCCATCACAATAGGTAGGAAGGAGTAGATGCAATAGATAACAAGAAACTACAAAAAAACTCAAAATTGATCACTGCATTTAAATATTGCATTAATATTTAAGTTTAACTTTTAAAAGTTAAAAGATAATTCTTCTGCCGCCGCTTAATTTAAAGACAATATGGTAAACGTAGGTCTTTACTTTACGTAAAATTATTTTTTATTTTATGAGTGACTTTTGTTGGATTTCGTAATTAATTTCGATTATTCCCAAATTTATTCCCAAGTTATGAAAATTGTTAGCGTACAAAAAACTTGTCGCAAAACATCACGTTAAACAATTATCACCCAAATCTATCGAAGTAATGAAAACTTGTGAATCAAAAGTTTCAGGACTGTGGGTTCACATCCGGCTCTGAATGTTTTAAAATTACACAAGGAGTCGGCCTGATTCCAAAATGGCATCATGTGTTGGGCTCTAGCCAAAATGGCATCATGTGTTGGGCCTCTAGGAGTAAAGTTGAAAACACGGGCAATTTTATTTTGAAATTCTTACTTTAGTTTTTAGTGCGTTGCTAGACTCAGCGGATATGTTGCGAACAACAACTAAGCATCACTGAAAATAAGAATTATACGAGATCCGTGCACACCCACGTCTACAGACACACAGACAGAATTTGGAATCAAATTATTTGGTACTCGGCTCTCGGAATTTTAGATAGCATTCAAATTTTATTTTATTTATTTAAAATCTAAAATTATACTGATCGTTTTATTGCGTAATTACTCCTGTTCAATTTCCTTTAAAAATAATTTATTTTCTCCGATTAAAATATCTTCCTCTATACGCACGCGCACAGACAAACACACACACACACATATATATTATAATAAAGGTAAAAGACAATAGAAAAACTGTATCATTAGCCGACACACTTCGTCTAATGTGGACTTTTTCGAAACGCGTCGGCTAATAATTCTTTTATCCTTATTGTCTTTTTCTACAGGTTAACACTGAGAAATTTTCACACACACACACATATATATATATATATATATATATATAGAGAGAGAGAGAGAGAGTGTGTGTGTGTGTGTAACCCGGATATAAGAGAGATTTTCTCTGGTCCCAAATTAGAGCCTGTGTTAATGTATATAAAATAGACCAAACCCGGATATAAGAGATTTCGTCTCTGGTCCCGACAACTCTCTTATATCCGGGTTACACTGTATATAAAATTGAGTATTTGGCAAGTAATGCCTCCTTGATACAAGTCTTATTAAATACCATTGCAAGAGTACCGCAGCTAAGATTTTAATTCCATTTTTCTTGCATTTATACAAGTGTTTTCATTTCTGGAGATGAATTGCAAAAAAGATATATAAAACGTTTGGACAGAGTTTACACACTTTCATATATATATATATATATATACATACATATATATATATATATATATATATATAAATTACTAATAATCTTATAAATATAAGCAGCTATACTCGTCCGGCAAAACCTTAGGTGTTTTAGCTTGTAAATGAACAAACTAATACCCAAGGGAAAAAAAAGGATAAAAAAAGAAAAGAAAAGAAAAACAAAGAACCATGCACTTCCGACGAAAATAATCGTCTAGAATCAAAGTTCAGAGTCCAAAGAAAAAAACTTCTGACACGAGTAAAGTAAAAATAACTAAGCAAAGTGCTCAATACGTTAAGTAGAGGAAAATAAGTAAACCTAAAGAGGTTTAAAGTCTTGAACCGTTAGCTTTTATGCCAGTTTGATGTTTACAAAGACCCGGAAAATGCCGGAAATGGAAAAAAATGTTATTTTTGCAAGCTGGTCACATTATTTTGTCTAACCCCTAATATATATATATATATATTTAAAAGTTTTGATTACATAACACTCTTTAATGGCTACTAGATTCAAGAGTTCGGCGAAGGTTTTTGGCCGAATTTTACTGAAAAGAATTTGAAGACCCGCCTGATAAGTGGCAACAAGACATTGCAAAAAATGGCGAATACAGAATTGAAGAAAATGTAATTGTTTTTCATTGTTTGTAGAATAAAATCAATAAACAAAATCGTTAATTATTCATGACGCAAACTAAAATAAAACATTTGCACAATCCGGTGTTTTTGGGCTGTTTTAATTTTTGAGGAAGATAACTGCCAAGTGTCAACGACAAACAGACATTTTATTTTGGAATATTGTGTGGATTCTTTATTGCAGGAAGCTTATACGAAATGCCAGCCAGTGTTTTTGGATGCACTCCAAAACATCGTGATTAGAAAGTAACATATGACCCCAGCACCTTCTAAAGGGCTGCTGTTCTTTTGTTAATTTCATGACCCAACCTCTGCACTGAAATGCACTTGCCTTAACAGCACGCTAACCATGTTACGCTCAACTGGTAACAAAAGCGACTCTTTTCCCAGCATGCCTTCAACTTCCGGTGCTATTAAAAAAGAATATTCACTCCCGCTTGAGTTCTTTGTGGAGAGAGATGATGAAAACGCGGCCCTAGTTAAGGAAAAAAGGCTTCCAGGTCAACCACGAGCTCCATTAAGGACGGGAAAACTGATTTTTCGCTCTTAATAAGAAGATAAAAGCAACGGGTTGAACAAGGCTTTTGCAGGAAAGAAGGAAACAATAATGGGGGTGAGGAAGGTACTCAGAGAGTAACAGGTAGTCTGGGAAACTATTTTTATAGTACTAATGTCGACAGAGATTATATTTCGCACAGGATGAAAAGAGTCGAAGAGTGTTTTCAAAAGAGAAATACAGGGTGATTGAAAAGTAATTCCCTATTTTATGTATGATGGATTCTCCCCGTCTATCATTTTTACAAGACGAGAGGGTCCAACATGCATAAAATAGGGAGTTGTTTATTTAATGAGGAAAAAGAAAGAAAGAATATAAAAGATGTGAAAAGAAAGAATCTATTTGTGTCAATTTCAGTCTGTTCATATCTATCTGCCTCGGCCTTTTCATATCTATCTATCTATCTGCCTCGGCCTTTTCATATCTATCTATCTATCTGCCTCGGCCTTTTCATATCTATCTATCTATCTGCCTCGGCCTTTTCATATCTATCTATCTATCTGCCTCGGCCTTTTCATATCTATCTATCTGCCTCTTCATATCTATCGGCCTTTTCATATCTATCTATCTATCTATCTATGCCTTTTCATATCTATCGGCCTTTTCATATCTATCTATCTATGCCTTTTCATATCTATCTATCTATGCCTTTTCATATCTATCTATCTATGCCTTTTCATATCTATCTATCTATGCCTTTTCATATCTATCTATCTATGCCTTTTCATATCTATCTATGTCTTTTCATATCTATCTATCTATGCCTTTTCATATCTATCTATCTATGCCTTTTCATATCTATCTATCTATCTATGCCTTTTCATATCTATCGGCCTTTTCATATCTATCTATGCCTTTTCATATCTATCTATCTATCTATGCCATTTCATATCTATCTATGCCATTTCATATCTATCTATGCCTTTTCATATCTATCTATCTATGCCTTTTCATATCTATCTATCTATCTATGCCTTTTCATATCTATCTATCTATCTATGCCTTTTCATATCTATCTATCTATCTATGCCTTTTCATATCTATCTATGCCTTTTCATATCTATCTATCTATCTATGCCTTTTTATATCTATCTATCTATGCCTTTTCATATCTATCTATCTATGCCTTTTCATATCTATCTATCTATGCCTTTTCATATCTATCTATGCCTTTTCATATCTATCTATCTATGCCTTTTCATATCTATCTATCTATGCCTTTTCATATCTATCTATCTATCTATCTATGCCTTTTCATATCTATCTATCTATCTATGCCTTTTCATCTATCTATCTATCTATGCCTTTTCATATCTATCTATCTATGCCTTTTCATATCTATCTATCTATGCCTTTTCATATCTATCTATCTATGCCTTTTCATATCTATCTATCTATGCCTTTTCATATCTATCTATCTATGCCTTTTCATATCTATCTATCTATGCCTTTTCATATCTATCTATCTATGCCTTTTCATATCTATCTATCTATGCCTTTTCATATCTATCTCTATGAAAAATTATAGTAATTATTGCTCTACTTTCGGTATCGAGCCCTCTTTTGAATCAATGCTGTGAACGTTGGAATTTATATATTATTTTCGTTCTCATTACATTCATATATATATATATATATATATATATATATATATAGGTGTGTGTTAGTGAGACAATGCATTTCCACTTTTGAACATCAAATTTGACTGGTAAACAAGAATCCGGATGGGATTTTCCCGGGGGGGGGAAGTGCGAGAGAAGAAACTATTAGCATAGAACTTACGGTTACATCTTCTCTCCTTAATAGTATATTTCTTATCATATTCTCTACCACTCAGTAACCTCTTGCGTCTTAATCGCTTCAATGTCTTGCTTGGGGTGAAATGATTAAAAAAAAAAATTAAATAAAATCACCGACTCGGTTATTTAAAATCTGAAATCAACTTCTGACTTTATAGTCAATAAAAATAAAAACAAAATATCGATTTTTACTGAGCCGTATAATCAATACCGTTAAGGAATTGATTATTGAACTTTTCTCTCGTGTTTGTACATCCGATTCCCATGAAGTGAAAGATCATTTATGAACTGAACTCATCACCAACCTTAATCAAATCAATAACAGATATTGGCTGTTATCTGTTTATTCGTTAGTGCCGGGCCGGCCGAGTTTAATCCATTGAAATCTTGAGCAGTTAAAGATGCAACATTACTCACTTAACGTCTTCGAGATGAAGATTACCTGTTCAATTTCTTTGGTTCTTAGACCGTTATCTTCCCAACATATCCACAGATCAGGAATGTAAGTGGGGAAGATAATTGAAGCTTAGTAAATAACCATACGAGGCGAAAAGTAACACTTAAAAAAAAATCATGTCATTAAATTTGGACAAATATTTCTTAATGTTCGCTCTTTTGCGGGCGGTGCAATGGATAAGAACTCCGAATACGAAATCGCTGAGCCGTGTTCGAATTCAATTAGGATTCGTTATTTTTCACTTACGCGCAAATACCGTATGAAACGTATGAATCCTTCTCCCCCAAGCTATGGGTTAAATAGCAAGGATGATATTTGGAAAAGCTATTGACATTTTCAAAAAATTGTTAACGAAATAATCACTCTGAAGCAGAGGCAAGAACATTAATATCTCCCATTTGAAAGATGCATATTCATGCAATCAGAGACTATTATATAATACAAATGGGAAAAAAAATGGAAATATTGTTTAAAACCAGAACTCCTCAAGCCTGGGAAATTTTACCAAGAAACTTCTAAGTCGGGTATAAACTGATATTTAAAAGTTAAGTAATCTTCTTCAGGGATTCTGGTTTTAAATGATATTTCCAATTTTTTTCTCACGTGTCATATATATATATGTGTGTGTGTGTGTGTGTGTGTGTCTGACAAATTGGAAAAAATAATTTTTTAAATATTCTTTCAAAAATGCTGAAACTACAAGCGTCTCGAGTTCGCGCGCATGTCTAGTTGTGGCAACACAGGAAGAAAGTTCAGACTGATGAAGTCCTAACGGAATAACGGAAGAAACGCGTCGCAAAAACTTTTTCCCCAATCTGTAATACTATTTTTCTCAATACTGTTTCTTGATATATATATATATATATATATATAAAGAAAAACAGACCATTTTAAGGTACCATTATAATAATTTATTTCACCAGAGCCCTTTTAAAGGACGCCGGATCATCAGATAGCACTTCCAAAAATGAATGAAACGAAAAATGAAATTAAAATTGATGGGTCTACCCATCAATTTTAATTTCATTCCGCTCTGGTGAAATAAATTATTATAATGGTACCTTAAAGTGGTCTGTTTTTCTTTTAAATATTAGCTCTCGATTTACATTGAGCTCTCAGGATTTCATCCTTCTTGGGATTACCCATACGAATTACAAAGTTCTTCATAACTTATATATATATATATATATACACGTGTGTGTGTGTGTGTGTGTATGCGAAAACAATATTCATTTTTTTTGTATATCAAGAACAACGCCCGACGGAAAGAGGACACTGAGAATTTTGAATTGTTTTACTTTTTTAAATATGTTTTTGAATATATTATCCATTACTTTCACTAATACCCTCGTCAGTCATGTATCGAAAGATACATGATTACCTAAGCGTGTATAACGGATGACACATAAATGGGAACTGACGTTTGAATATATAATCTAGCCGATTATTCTTAATACAACGGAAAGACTGCGTAAACATTGGCTAATATGCAAACTAATCCAATTAAACTGCATTAGAAAATATCTGAATTCGAAGGCAACTAAAGCATTAATCGTGGTAAATAAACTTTTAACAGATATGTAATGTTTTACAGACGAAAACATTCATTACGCCTGCTCATTCATTTTTCTTTTCTGGTGTTTGATCAGCACAGCATAACAGAAAATAATTAATAATGTTTACTCCACTCAAATTAAAAAAAAAAGAAAACAAAAAGGTGTTGATAAACCGTAAAAAACGAATCAGTCAATTATACTCTGAGTAGCTAAACAGGCATGACTTTTAGGTTTATTTAGTCTTTGGAATATGAATGTATTAAAACTATCATGGCCACAAAATGAAGGATCAGTTTATATATTGATTGTAATGTAGAATTGATCCCCCACTTTATATCCACATTATAATTTCTTCTTTCTTCATAAGCCGTAGAAAACAAACTAATCAATTAATGAAATACTGATTAGCTACACAGGCAAGTCTTTCAGATTTATTTATAATCCCTGGAATATAAAGGTATAGAAACTACCGTGGCCACAAAGTGAGGGATCAATTTATGTATTGATTGCAATGTAGAATTGATCACCCACTTTTCATCCTCAATATAATTTCTTGTTTGTTGATAAGCCGAAGAAAACGAACCAATCAATCAATGAAATACTGATTAGCTATAACAGCCAGGTCTTTTAGAAATATTTACAGTCTCTGGAATATAAATGTATAGAAATTACCATGGCCACAAAGTGAGAGATCACTTTATATATTCACTGTAATGTAGAATTGATCACACTTTACAATCTCTGGAATGTGAATGTATAGGAACTGTGGTGGCCATAAAGTGAGAGGTCAGTTTAATTTAATATTTTGGTTTTTATTTCATTTTATTTATTATTTAAAATTTTCTTTTCTTTTTTTTGTTTGGAAGATCCCAGACACATGACGGCGCCCCGGCGAGGGCCAATTTGAACCTGCCATATATATATATATATATATATATATATATATATATATATATATTCAAGACTTTTATATCTCTTGGTCCAGGCATAGATTTATAAAGACGAAAGCAATGTTCTACAATCATAATAATTTTTAGCCAAGGTTGACAGGAGCATCAGCCAGAAGATTATATTAATCAACTCACGTTGATCGATCCAATGTGCGTCCGATGGTCCGATATGCGTGGAACCAGCAGGGAAGCCGGCATTACATAGACGTTTCCGATGGTAGATAGAACCGAGGAATAAGCAAGTGAAAATTGTCTAGGGCTGTTTGTATGGCACCGATAAAGATCTTTATTTACACATGCATGGAGCTGCCGGGTGGGGAAGTGTTGCGGTCATTTTGACCACCCACGTCGCCATCGTTCGACGGGGGACAGGAGACAAAAATCTCAGGTTTCCGATTTCAAGTCGACGAGGAAGTGCCGCGCCTATTTGTTTCAAGAAATTGTAGTGTCGGGAGTGGGATGTAAGCACAGACAGGCATTGGTCCCATTGGTGTGTGTGTGTGTGTGTGTGTGTGTGTGAGAGAGATACCAAAGAGAAGGTTATTTGAATTCAAAAGGGAAGTTACAATATTACGCTTTTTAGTCAAAAGGTTGTCCTATTATTGACAATACAAACTGAATTCCTGACCACTGACAATCCCTTTCTTCCTGATTTTCAATGCATTCAAGCAGGCCATCTCCGATTGAAAAATTGGCGCAATACACTCTTCCTACCTGTTTACTCGCATCTTAGACTGTTCCTTTAGCTGACAAGAATACATCTTAAGCAAATCTAGAAGTTAGTTTAAAAAATGATAAAAATGGGTTCAAATAATGTTTTCCTGTCAGAAAAAAAAAATCAGTGATTCCCTGAAAAGCCAGCCCATATCTGTCTGGGTGCCACAACAGTAAAAACAATCAGCCCAGAAGACATTCATGTCTGCAAAGATTACAAGATGAAAATGTCTGGAAAAATATAAGCAACTCGACTAAATAAATACGTAAAAATTTTGGCATTCTGCCAGGTGAGGAACAGTCAGTATGGAACATAGCCAGACGAGGAGAAGTTAGGGACAAACTCTGTGTGTGTGTGTGTGTGTGTGTGTGTGTGTGTGTGTAAATATATATATATATATATATATATATATGTGTGTGTGTGTGTGTGTGTGTGTGTGTGTGTACCGTATATTTCCGAGTACCTTTAGATAAGTCGAGGTAAAAAAATATTGTAAATTCTAATGAATCTATCCTATGCCTGTAATATAAGACGACTGCTTATTGATTATATAAAGATGATGTTATTGGAAATGTTATTACTTATTGTATCCTTAAAAATTCAAAATAAACGAACTAACAAAATCTCTGTCATGTTTTTCTAAAAAGGGAAACCATTGATTTGCTTACGTTTTATCACGTGATCACTTGCGAATAAGGATTCTTCTTCCTCTATATCTAAACAGTTAAAAACATCATGGTGTACTGATGACCATTTACTTATACTTCATCGACAATCACAAAATACCGCTGATAATGTACGATAATAGTACATTCCATTGCTGTGAATGCAATCAAAACTCCATTTTTACATTAGCTACATAGGCATGTCTTTTAATTTACAGTGACTGGAATATAATATATAGAAACTACCATGGCCACAAAGTGGGGGATCAGTTTATATATTATTATAATATAAAATTGATCCCCCACTTTATATTAACATTATAATTTCTGGTTTGTTTATCAAATTCTTATTGGTTATGTATCCATCATTCCCCCA